CACAGTTGGCTATTCGCTCTGACTCATTGGTGCTAAGACCAGTATGCATCACACTCAGCACAATAGAGGAGTCAGATCTCCAGCCTTGTGCACGCATCAGCACGTGAATCATGGTAATCCTCACATGGGTGTGGAGTACTCGGGGCCCATATCAACCACAAAATATATGCCCTCCATGCTGGGTCTGCACTCTTTTAGTCCCTGTTACTCACACACAGATAAATAAAACTGAAACATACACACGGTGAGTCACTGGTGGTTTTGCAACGCAGCACACTCCTTCAATAATACAAATCTAGAGCGTCATATTACGTAACACCGGAGTGTGGGCTGGTGTTGACTAAGTGGTGGTGACCAGATTTATCACAGCCCTCAGAGCTTATCAGTGTCTTTCCACAGACAATCGGAGTGACTACATCATGCAAAATAACTCAACCAATCATATGTTTGGGTTTTCTTGTTTATCTTTTTATTCCAACAATGAATTTTAGTCACACTGAATGCTTTAGAACAGCGTTTACTCATTGTTAACATGAAAAGGAATGGAAGTCTGTATTTTAATGGATGCACGAGGTGTTGATATAGGATTTTAGTTTCTTTGTGCACACACTCAGGTAACATAATTATATATAGTTTGGGTCTTTATGCCTTTAGCTGTTTTTGTGCTTTAGAGAATAAAGAATCAAACATAACATCACTTTAATTTTCAGATCAAAAGCTGAAAGCACAATGAGTCTGAGTTTGTAGAGGTATGACCTTCATTCTTTGTGTACCATATGAAGACTTCAGAATATGAGTCTATATGACAGCATAGTGGATGGGGCATTTATGACGGTGACTGAGGAGTGGCTTTTCTCCAAAGTTAAAGGTTTTATGGAGGAGTGTGTATGTGTGTGTGTTTGTGTGTGTGTATGTGTGTGTGTGTGTGTGTGTGTGTGTGTGTGACATGTGTATGTATGTGCATGCCTGTTGTTGTGTTTTGGATCTGTGTGAGTCTGTGGACAGATTAATAGATTTAAAATAGCAAAAAACTTGGGTTGTTTTGCGCTCTGCTGCCTGGAATCTTCATGCTGTCATGGTGTGACGGCTTTCAACATAACAACCTACTTCTGCCATAAAACCTGCCTTAATCACACCCTATGGAGTTGCAAATTTCTCAGGTACTCTCGTAAACACACACACACACACACACACACACACACATTTTCTTAAGCAATGCAGTGCAAATGGGGGCATACCAGATTTCTGTGGTTTTTATAATGTATACAGATAATTATGAATAACCCACATGCTAAACCTAATAGAAAAATTCAAATTAAAACAAAAATGTATTAATACAGTATTGTTGAAAGGTTGGTGATCAGTAAGATCATTGAATTTATCAAAAGTGACTGTAAAGATGTGTAATGTATAATGTTAAAAAAAAATTTATTATTTCTATTCATCAAAGAATCTTGAAATGTTTTTTTATCAGTTTCCACAAAAATATTAAACAGCATTTTTGAGCACCAAATCAGCATGTTATTATGATCAAATAAATGCAGCATTGGTTAACAAAAGAGACTTCTTTCAAAAACATTAAAAAACTCAAAATTCTGAACAATAATATATATCATTTTCACAAATGAGGATGTCTCTAGATGTTCCCAAATGCGGGTTTTGTCAGATTTAGCTCACTTCCAGGAACAAACTTGTGTCCACACTATAGCTAAGTATGTACAATCAAACATTTAGGAGATACATAGCTATCACAATCACATCTGTACACACACACACACACACACACACACACACACATAGTGAATTTACACTGGAATAAAAACCCTAACATATTAAATGTATACATGTAAACATAGAGATCCCACTGCTACTCAGACCTTCACACAACTAGCTCTTGGCAGAAATATTTGTTTATCTCTCTGTATCTGTCACTCACAACATACCAGCACAAAGTCATCATGTCAGAACTGATTTCTGAAAAGATTTAGTAGCATTTCTTTCCATCTGTCTCCTTCAGCAGTACACTTTATACTCATAAAGTTATCTTGTGAGAGCACTATATCAATACAACACAGAAAAACATGTTACACTAAAGAAATGTTTAAAAGAACACATTATATACTAATAAAAATGTTCATATACAGTATATTTGGTATAATACTTAATTAGCTTATATAATGAAAGCTAAAGTGAAAAAAAAACTTACAAATAAAATCAGATAGTCTGCTGTCCTGCTGTTGTCCTGCTGAGATGCTCTACTGCTGTTTTCAGTTCTGCTGAACATGTATGAAGCCGAGATCATTGCTATCTTCCACCTGTCCTTTATCACATTGTTACTGTGTTAAACACTGTTGATTAGACCTAAGCTTCATCTTATCACTCTAACACATGTCCTCCACTGGGACATAGTTCGCCCCCCTCTGACTCTCTTTACCATCTTGTAGCTCCCCAGGGTCTCTTGAGTCCAAGTATGCACAATACCCTCATCAGCCATCAGATTGTACAGGGCCATTACTCATTCATGCAGCCTTGCCCTTTGTGTGAGGCAATTCTTCAGACGAATGCATGCACACACACACACACACACACACACACACAGACATATATACCCCCAAATCCCCCCTCTTCGCTCTTCTAGATCCCATCTGCCCCCTACCCCCACACATTCTCAACTACAAGCCCCCCTAGGCCCTGGACTTCATCCCTTCCTACACCCCTAAACCAGCTGTCTGGGAGCCGAAGCCCCTGAGGGGATAAACAGGTGCTGAGCTTGTGCTGGCCACTGCAGTCAAGCTGCACATTTTAACACTCGCAACCTTCATCCAGCCACACGCTGTCATGCAGATACATGATGAACATCAACATGCACACACACACACACACACACATGCATGCACTCGCAGGTTTACTTGGCTAACTAAATGAGGATTTATCATACAGACCTTTGTAATCTATATTCAAAAGTTTGGAGTCTCTTATGTTCACCAAGGCTGCATTTATTTTATCGAAAATACAGTAACAACAGTAATATTCTGAAATATAAAAAATAAATAATTAAATTACTGACCCCAAACTTTTGAATGGAAGTATGTATTTGTAGATGGCTGCACATTTGTCAAATTTAGCCAGCATTGTAGTGCATTTAAGTAAGATGCAGAAACTACACTGAATGAACAACCATGCAGTTTTTCAGCACATGATCTTTTAGATACCTGCGGTGTGTCACGGTGTGCACAGAAAGATTGTCTGTTCATACATCAGTTTTGGGAGGACAAAAAGAAAGGAAATGCTATAAAAATATACATCAGATGTTCTTTAAAATAGATAAAAGACAGAAGCACTGCCACACCGAGTTGAGGTTCGGGGTATTTTTAGCACAGCTAGTGAACCGTTTTAAAAATGTACCAAGGGTTGCCATACACCAGTTTAACTAAGTGTGTGTGGCCAAAATCTAATGACCAGAATGACCAGCATTGTAAAACTCTCCATACTGAAGTTATTAAAATTATTCATGAAAATTGCCTTGATGCGTTATCATTACATTAGAAATGGACATAAACCTGCACACTTCTTACTTATTGCTTCCTTCTTGCATAATATGTCTTGTGTAAAGGGACAAAAATCTTGGGCTCAATCTGATAAGGATAAATCAAATCTGACTAGTGCAGGCCCTTGTGTTTTCATTTTGCATGTAACAGCTGGCCCTTGGCTGCACACACTTCTCTTGACACTTCGGACCTAAACTCCCACTGGCATATGTTCATGTGTGTGTGTGTGTGTGTGTGTGTGTTCCCAAAGATGATGGTCAGTAATTACAATATACGACAGACAGACACAAACAAAATCAAAACACATAAATAATTATGTTCATGATAAGATGTCACCACAAGGCCACACAAGAAATAAAAAGAGAAGGAAATATTATAATACCTCATGTAATTATTAGCTCATCTATTAGCTAACTGTTAACACAATAAAGTGCAGTAAAATCTCCCCAATCTTCTATTCTGAAAAAGAGCTCTTTGTTGAGGCTCGTTTATTGTGCTTTCAATGTGTCTGGTACAATGTTTGTGTGCTACATTAGGGACATGTATGATTGCATGTTGTTGTCATCATGCTGAGGCAAGGCCACTGTACTCAGCGTTGTGTCTTTCATCCCCACACCCTCACTAAAAAAAGAAGCCCATGCCCAGTATCAAATTAATTAAACCCTGTATACTCAGTTCAGTGGGATGCCCCCCTCACTCACAGACTGTCCTATGGTGAGAGAAAGAGTGAGGGTGGGGGAGAGGTAAAAGAGAATGTCACTCTTTTCTCTTTTGAGAATTAAACTGCAATTGCTTTTAGTGAGTCTGTGAATGATAAGCAAGGTTTTGTATAAGTCGCTTCCTGTGTGTCACTGTCTAATAGTGGTTATTGGGCAGGTTTTATGAGCATAAAGTCTGTGTATATAAGTGAGTTTGGCAATGTGATGCCAGCATGTCGCCCTCAAGAATGGATAGATCACCATAAAAAGTGCATTATCAAGATACTGATATATAATAATTAATAATAATAATTATATATATATATACTGTATATATATATATATATATATATATATATATATACATATAGTAATGACTAAAGCCATAAATCACAGCAAAGCGGATGACATTAAACTTGAGTAAACCTAACTTTTTCAATTGTGACTGCACAAATATGTTATATTACAGACAGATGAGGTATTGCATAATTTATTTGAATATATCTGCTTTTTTTCTCGCACAAATTGCTGTCCAATTTGTCCAGACGGGATGGAGGAACTATTTTCCCGCGCGGAGTGATATGAATGGCCTGGCAGTGGTGTGTGGCGCGCACTATGCTTGATGATTTCTCTCTCTCTCTCTCTCTCGCTCTCTCTCTCTCTCTCTCTC